GGGCGGGGGCTGCAGCCAGGGGAGGGGGAAGGAAAGGAGGCAAAGCCTCTGCCCTGGCCCTGGGCCCTGCCTGCCCAGGCGGAGCCTAGCGAGGAGGCGCTGGGCCGTTGTGTTTGCCCGGAAAGCTGCGGCCACCAGGCGCTTGGGGGGGCAACCTGGCCCCTGCTGCGCGTGCAAGGGAGGGGGGCCCGTGGCAGGCAGCGACCGGCAGGGTCCGGCTTCGGGCCTTAAAGCTGGGAGAGCCGGCTCTGCCTTCCCCAGGGGCTTTTGCTGCCCGCAGGGTGCGGGAGCTCCAGCTGCTGGCAGGAGCCTGGCGCGGCCGGGAAACCCTGGGGTGCAGAGCGGGGATGTCCTGGCCCCTCCAACCCCTACGGCGTCTTGGGGAGGGGCATTGGCACCAGGCTCCCCCGGGCATCAGGGCAGACCGAGAGGCACCTCGCCTCTTGGCTGGCTGCGGGGTGGGCTGGGAGCTCCTGCTCAAGCAAGAGCTTCATCCTCCTGACCGCAACGCTGTGGCTGCTTCCTCACGAGGGGTTTTATTTTCAGTGTGGCCAACAGCCCATGGGAGCAGCCGAGCGGCAGAAAGGCTCAGCCTGGGGCAGGGTGAGGATCACGGCCCCGACACGGGCGAATGGGCCGGGGGGAGGAGCACGGCCCCGACACGGGCAGCGCTGGAGGACGCGACACGGGAGGAAATGTCCAGTGAGTGCTCTGAAGTGGGCGGGCAGCCGTGCTGTGCTCCAGGGGTGTGTGGCGGGGTCAGGCATGCGGGAACACCCCAAATGTACGTGAGCTGAGGAAGCCCAGCCTGGCTGTGGTTGAGGAGAACGTGCTGTGCTTGCGGCTAATGGTGCTGGTCCTCTTGTGGGGTGGTTTGGGGCTGGCACCAGTCTTGGGCTGCAGTGGGGTCAGGCTTGTGGCTGCACATCGCACCTCTGCTGCGCCTGTCTGTTGCTTGGGAGGGAAACGTTTTTGCTTGTGGCTGCTGGTTGTGTTGCATGTCGTGCTGCGGGGAGGTTTGGGGCTGTGCCCCACGGTTCTGGGACCGGTCGTTGTGGTGGGGAGCTGAACGAAGCTCCAGTGCTGCCGCTGCCCCAGGGCAGCTTCTCCCCCTGCCATCAGCAACCGCCCAGCAAGTACTGGTGCCGGTGTGGTGCTCTGCCCCAGCTGGGCTGGGGACAGCCCTGTCCTCTTCCCCCGTGGGGCTCCTGCTTGTTTTGGGCCCCTCCTGAAACCCAGTTGGCTTGGTGCAGCTTTATTTGATGTTTAGCATTGGGGTTGGTTCAACTGTACTTGCTGTTTCGTGCTTTGGTTGGTTCAGCTTTAGCTTCTGTTTAGCACTGAGCTTGGCAGTCATGTTTAGCAAGATGCGAAGCGCAGCGTGTGGCTCCCCCAAGTCCTGCTCCACGTCGTGGTGGGAGGGGGCGAGAGCTGTGCCAGGTCGGGGGTGGGAGCAGGTGAGAGCTGTGCCAGGTCGGGCGCTGGATGGGAGCAGCCCATCCTCAGCCCCGCTGTTGCTCGGTGGTGTTTTCTGCCTGAAACGCTCCTCGCTGAGCAGAGGGGTTTCGGCAACGTGTGCGTTCATACATTGCTCCCCAGAAGAGCAGGTGAGGTTTCAAGCTGAGCCCCAGGCTCTCCTGTTGCTGTTTGTCCCTCCCCTCCCTGTTGCCCACCTGCGGTTCTGGGCAGCCTCTGCTGAAAGCAAGGGGCAGGCAGGAGGGATGGGGTGCCCTTGCCCGAGAGGGGGGGCGGCCATCTCCCCCAGGTTATGTGGGGCTGATCTGTGCACCCCAGGAGCCCCAACTGACCGGTTTCGCTCCCCTTGCACAGGTACAGAGGAGATGCAGACACCACCTTGCCTGCGCCCGCCGGCCCCAGGAGACCTGGAGGGACCCCCCACCTCACTTCTGCCCTCAGGAACAGGACTGGGAGAGACCCTCCACACAGAGAGAGGTAGTTGGCATGGATTTAATCCCTGATGGAAGAGACTGGGCTCCTCGCTGCTCAGAGCTTCTTTTGGGGGACAGCCCTGCCTGCTTCTGCCTCGGGGTACCGATCCAGCTGATGGACACCCCGGCTTGCTACAGCTGCAGGTGATTTCAGCTCCAGCCGCGAGATGTTCCTGCTCATCGTCACTGGTTCCTGGTACAGCTGCA